GATAAAAGCCACTTAAGCATGGTAGATAAAATATTTGATTTGTTCTTGTGTTTTGTTCACAAGAATTTCATTGAGAATGTTTGCATCTATGTTCATAAGGGAAATTTATCTGTAATATTCTTTTTTTGCTTGTCTTTATGTGGTTTGGGTATTAGGGTAATTGTAGCCTCATAAAACAATTGGGCAGTTTTCCTTTTGTTTCTATTTTTGTGGAATAATTTGAGGAGTATTGGCATTAACTCTTCTTTGAAAGTCTGCTAGAACTGTGTACTAAAACCACCTGAGCCTGGATTTTTTGTTTGTTTGCTTATTTGGTTAATTTTGATTACCACTTCTATTCCACTAGGAGTTATGGATTTGTTTAAATTGCTTATCGTATCTTAATTTAACTTTGGTAAGTGGTATTATCAAGAAAATTATCTAATTCTTTCAAATATTCCAATTTGGTGGAGCACAAGTTTTTAAAGTATGTCCTTAGTATTCTCTGAATTTCTTCAATATATGCTGCTATATCTTTCCTTTCATCTCTAATTTTAATTTAGAGATATTCTCTCTCCACTCCAGTTAATTTGGATTAGGGTTTGTCAGTCCAACTGATTTTCACAAAGAACTATGTCTTTGTTTCATTGATTCTTATGTTTTTCACTTTTTTTGTATCTACTTTATTGGTAGCAGTCCTGAGTTTTGTTATTTCTTGCCATGTACTCCTTTTGGGTGTGATTTTTTTGTGTTGTTCTAGAGCTTTCAGATCTGCTGTTAAGTTGCTAATATGAGATCTCTACAACTTTTTTTAATGTAAGCACTTAGTACTATGAACTTGCCTCTTATAAGACACTCTAGTCAAAAGTACTTTAGTGGAGGAAAGGATTTATTTGGCTTCCATTTCCAGGTCTCAGTTCACCTTAATTCAGGGCAAGAACTCAAACAAGAACATGAAGCAGAAACCACTAATGAGCAAAAGTTGCTTGATTCAATCACTTACTCAGTCTCATACTTGGCTAGTTTCTTATATAGCCCAAGACTACTTCCTAGAGATGATACCACCTACAGTGGGCCCTCCTTTATCAGAGATATCCTTTCTCATAGTTCTGGAGGTTGCAAAGTCTAGCATCAGTACCAAATTTAATATCTGTGATTCATGGCAGCGCCTTATTGCTGCAACCTATAGCAGAAGGCAGAAGAGAAAAGTATCTAGATGGCATTCTCAAGACCTCATGGCCTGACCTCTTAAAGGTTCTACCAGTTATGTTACTGTTGCATTGAGAATTGAGTTTCAATATGTGTTTTTGAAAGTGAACATGAATTCTCAAACTATAGTAAATGAACTTGAATACACATGTAGAAGGGAGAGAGCCTCTTGTTGGTTCCCGGCCTCTTAGCCCCAAAATAATCACACAGAAACTGTATTAATTAAATCACTGCTTGGCCCATTAGATCTAGCTTCTTATTGGCTCACTCTTACATATTTATTTAACCCATTTCTATTAATCTGTGTATGGCCACATGGCTGTGGTCTGTCTCCAGCGGCTCCATGTCTTCTCTCTGACTCCACCCTTCTTTATCCCAGCAGCATTCAGCTTAGTTTTCCCTGCCTAGCTAAGTTCTGCCCTGCTATATGTCCAAAGTAATTTCTTTATTCATTAATAGTAATTACAGAATACAGAGGGAAATCCCACATCATACACATATTCATACCAAACATAATCAAACATATACTCATCATTCTATGTTCCCAATCTCTCCATTATTCAATGGTTGTTTGAATTAATGAGGTATAAAATGAAACTTGCCTAAACAACAAGTGAGAAGTTTATTTTATAGATCTTTAGGGGCTTGAGAGAAGAACATATTGTCTTGTGAGATGCAGTCCTGCATTGCCTCAGGTTGACTTAGAGTCCAACTAAGTACTCTGAGATGGCTTTGAGCTCACAGCTGTCCTTCCGCCTCAGCCTCCTACCTGCTGGCATCATAGGTGATAACCACTATGCCAAGCTTTATTTTGGGTTGTTGTATGTGATTTCTAGAACATTTCTTGGAATAAAGCCAAATTTTTACTTTGGATTATATCCCAATTACCAAAAGGATTTCACAAAGCCCCATGTTGCAGTTTCTTATAAAATTGTTTTTAGGATAATGGTTGCATGTGCTGCTTTGGAAAGCCTAGTATCTGCAAGACTCTGCCCACAGAATGCATCTGTTTTTATGATGCAAGACAGTTTACTTCAGGTGTGCTTCCTGGAGATCCCACACACAGCCTTGTGGACAGAAGAGAAGAAAGGTCATGTTGTAGGTCTAATGTAGAAGGCATTCCCCACCACCGATCCTGGCTAGACATGTTCGTAATAAATGATTTTTACTGACCATGGCCACTAGGATACAATTCCCTAACATTCTCTAAATGCTTTTGATGCTGTATGCAGTTTACTGGGCTAAAGTCTCAACATAGATTGTTTATGAGAAAAACACCTTTTTCAATGGCTCAAGTTGTTTAAATTAGTGTTTCTATTGCTGTGAAAAGACACTATTACCACAGCAACTCTTATAAAGGAAAACATTTAATTGGAGCTGGCATACAGTTCAGAGATTCAGTCCATTATCATCATGGTGGGAAGAACGGTGGCATGCAGAGAGACACAGTACTGGAGAAGAGGTTGAGAGTTCTACATCCAGATCAGAAGGCAGCAGAAAGAAAGGATGACACTGGTCCTGGCTTGAGCATCTGAAACCTCAAAGCCCACTCCCAGTGACACCTCCAATAAAGCCACACCTATTCCAACAAGGCTATACCTCCTATTAGTGCCACTCCCTATGAGTTTATAGGAGCCATTTTTATTAAAACCATCACACAGATGTTTATTCATTGTAGTATCATGTATGCTTTAGTCTACATGAAGCAGTCTGAGTCCATTTATAGCCTTTTATGGATGTCTAACTACACACAAGTGGCATGGAAATTGTTTACCATTCTTTTATGAGTATTAAAGCAAAGTTCTAAAGGCATTTATTGGGCTGGTGCTTCGCTGGAATTATTCAGCAAATAGACTGCATCTATTTCTTCTTCATGTCTTATCTCTGTTCTCTGTTCCTCCTTCCTCCTTTCTTTAACAAGTAATTACTGGACTGTGCCAGTTTTATAGAGAAAATGAACCAATTAAACCAATTAAACAGAACTAATCTGTCCCCACTTTCCCTCCCCTCTCCCTATATATTCATTTATAACTAACCAACTATATGTATGAATATAGAAAAGAGAACTTATTGACTGAACATCTACTGTGAAGGGAATTTTTTAGATTGGCTTACTGATAGGAGCTGGGTAGTTCAACACTGACTATCTACACACGGGAGAGGCTGAGAATTCAGTAGCTGCTCAGTCCACAAGGCTGCGTGATTCAGCACTCTGGCATTGAAGTCCTAGAGCAGTGGTTCTCAACCTTCCTAATCTGTGACCTTTTAATATAACTCCTTGTGTTGTGGTGAACTCCAACCATAAAATTATTTCATTGCTATTTACTTTCTGTAATGTTGATACTGTTATTAATTGTAATGTAAATAACTGATATGCAGGATACGTGATCTCTGTAAAAGGATCGTTCAACTCCCAAAGGGGTGGCGCTCTACAAGCTGAGAACCTCTCTAGGACCTAGAGGACTCTGGGAGCTCCTGGTCTTCAACTCACACCAGAAGAACGAAGGCTCTTAGCTCTACTGTCAACAAACAGTAGCAGTTTCACTGATGGCAATAATGCACAGGAACATATCAGCAAAAGGCAAAGCTGGATAAATTAAGAAGCAGTACTGCTTTCCCCGAATACCTTCTGGGCCATTACTGGAAGGTGCTGGCCATTCTGGGTGAGTCTTCTCCCCTCAGTTAAGACTCCTTGGAGACATACTCATAGATTCACTCAGAGACATGCCTCTTACTTTATCCCAGATCTCATAAATTTGACGGCCAAGACTGACCATCACAGATGGGGAGTCCTAGCTGGAGGCAATGGATCCATGGGCAAGCTTCTGAAAATTAAGTTTATAGTCTAGTCCCTGGTCCCTATCTCACTCTCTCCAGGTTTCCTAACGATGTGTGGAGACTATGACACACATTTCTCCTGCAGTGACCTAAGTACCTTGGTTATGCCTTCCTGGTCATGATAGACTGAAACCCTCAGAAACGATGAGCCAAAATGGATCATCTCCCTTTTCAGTTATTTGTGCCCAATACTATGATCACAAAAACACAAAACAAAAGTAACTGATACAGAAAGGTGAGAAGAGGATGACCTCCAAGGAAACCTCTATATAGCCCTGAGCACAACATGGACAGAGGGTCCAGGTACAAGCCTGCTACAATGTCACATTTACCAGGTGAAGGAAAGTGATGTTCCCTAAGCAAGGGGAGGCCACTCCTAAGAACAGAACACTGTTCACTGAAAAGGAAGAAAATAGCTTGAAAAACAGAATCAAACTGAAGGTAATGATCAGTGATAACACATATCAAACAGCCCACAGTGTTTCCATTCAGAAGGAGAAGGATAGCCCAGTTCATTCACATCAGTGCTGTGGTCTCCATAGGCCTGAATGTTGCTGGGATCCTAGGGTGACTTATGGCCATGAGCAACACAGAGAAGCTCATGAAGAAATGATTCAAGCCCTGGCTCAGTTCTGAGCAGAAAATGCTCAAGCTGGGAGATTTGAAAACTATGGGTATAAAAGATCTGCCAAAAATTACTGATGTATGTCTTCTCAGTACTTAAACCAGGAATGGGCCAGGAACGACAAGGAGATGGCTGACTATCCCTGGTCCAAGGCAAATTCATAGTCAAACAGCACTTACTCAACCCTAGTAGCTACAATGTGCCAGGTGTTCCATCAAACACCTCAGTGTATCACTTTTGTCTCCATGAATACCAGTTTTAAAAGTGAGAATATTGAAGTTAGAAGTGACCATCTCAAGATCACATGTCTGCTAAGTGGAATATCAAGATTAAAGTTTTCGCCCTTTCTTTTCAACACGGCGACCGAGTGGGTTGCAGACACCAACATGCAGATCTTTGTGAAGACCTTGATGGGCAAGACCATCACTCTTGAGGTCAAGCCCAGTGACACCATCGAGAATGTCAAGGCCAAGATCCAAGACAAGGAAGGCATCCCACCTGACCAGCAGAGGCTGATATTTGCCAGCAAGCAGCTGGAGGATGGCCGGACCCTGTCAGATTACAACATCCAGAAAGAGTCCACTTTGCACCTGGTGCTTTGTCTGCGTGGTGGCATCATCAAGCCGTCCCTTTGTCAGCTTGCCCAGAAGTACAACTGTGACAAGATGATCTGCCGCAAGTGCTATGCACGCCTGCACCCCCGTGCAGTCAACTGCCGCAAGAAGAAGTGCGGCCACACCAACAACCTGCGCCCCAAGAAGAAGGTCAAATAAAGCCAGGGCATTAACTGGCCCGTGACCCTGGGACCAAATAAAGTCCCCTTCCATCGACTGGAAAAAAAAAATTAAAGTTTTCTGGCACTGGCTTCAGAGGTATTCCTGTCTGTGCGCATTGTTAGCTGTGCTGCTGAAGGAGTCCCCTTGGGTCTCCCTTCAGGTGTAGAGATGATCCTCACTCGTGCACAGAAAAGTATTTCTGGACAAGTCATTCTGAAGCAAACTTGTGAGGTATTAAGAAAAAGAAAGAATACAATCAAGGGTGTTGGAGTCCAGGCATGAAGAGAGAGAGAGAAAGAGAGAGAGAGAGAGAGAGAGAGAGAGAGAGAGAGAGAGAGAGAGAGAGAGATCCTTAACAGTAGAGATGCGTGTGTGATGTGCCTTCTGCAGTTACCATGGTCAAAGGGTACAAGTCATGAGCGGCTCACAGATAAAGCACAGTTTAAGAACCAAGGAAAATACATGAACTCAATAAGCCATTTCTTTAATCCTTAAGAATGTTCTTTTGTAAATGGGATTAGAAAGTGCTTTCTGTGTTATGTTATAGAAACTGACAGGCGAGGAAGAGGTGTTGCTAGGATTAAAATCAATGGCACAAGGATTTAGGAATAAACTGTGGCCTGGGGCATAACTGATGAGCAGTTTCAGCCCTCCTGTTTGAGCTATCTCTCAGAAAGGGAGGATGGTCACTGTGTGGGCATCTTTTCAATGGTCAGTCAACATTCTTGACTTTCTGCCAGCAGGAAACATAAACCAGACCCTAAGGAACGAGGGACTCATTTCTTTTCTCAAGCCTCTTTAATATTTCCTGTCTTTCTATCCTGCCTCATTTCTGTAGACGTTTAACTGTCTCCAAAGGACTGAAGGCCGATCCTGTTCATTCCTGCCGCTAGACTTTCCATCAGTTTGAGGTGTGAGATGCCACCTAGACCCTCGGTCCCCCCATTGCCCCACTGAATCCTTCCAATTGGAAGTGTTCAGTCAGCAGCAGCAGCAGCTTTACAGCTTCTGCCATCAAAATGCAAATGACCTGCCTTCTGTCGTATACTGCCGCACATTGGAACAGGCATGAAAGCAAAGGAAGCAAAGGATGTGTGTTCTGCATGTATGCCTGAGCAAGTATGCATATGTATGCATGCGTGTGCATGGACACAAAGAATTTGCTTTTCTGACTCCCAAACTGACAGTAAATGAAAAGCCTGAGAGAAACTCTTTATTTACGGAAATGAGGGACATCAGCCAGTGTCACAGCAAAGCATTTGATGGAGACTGGCTCTTCACTGTACGAGTGTCCAGTTGATAACAGCTCAGGACACTAGATGTCACTCTTCTGTGTTGAGTCGCCTGTGTTATTGGGAGCTGTGGCATAATGACGTCCTTGTGGGTAATCTGACTCTGGACAGGGAGAGTGAGATATGCTCACTGAAGTTGCTTCAGGTGACAATGAATCAGAGGCAGGAGCAGCACAAAGAAAGCCCTCAGCCCAGGCCTGTCACGGTTTCCTTGGGGCAGGCATTCACCCGGCCAGGAGGTATGGATCCTTGGCAAGCTTCCCTCCCCATCCTTTCCTTTTCCCACTTGCTCCACGGTAGTCTGTCCTAGTTTCTGTGCCATTGTTCTGATGTTTAAATAATTGGACAAAAGCAACTTACGGGAGACAGTTTCTGGCTTACAGTTCTAGATGGGTACAGTACATACAGGCATAGAAGGTATATCAGCAGCAGCGAAAGTATGGTGGTATCCACACTCAGGTACCAAGGAGTAAATAAGAAGCAGGGCTAGATTATAAAACTTCAGCCTTTCCCACCCCAACCTCAATGACTCACTTCCTTCAGGGAAACTGTACCTCCTAAGGATTCCCGAACCTTCCCAAACAGCTCCACCAGCTGCGGATGTTCAATCAAATGGATCTATGAAGTACGTGTCACAGTCAAACTGCAGCACTGCCCTCTTCTTTAACATCAGAGCCCTAAGCCTCCTCCATCTGAGGAAAGTGTTCAGTACAGTGGGGGAAATAGTACGTCCACCTGGAAAGACACACAGCTGAGGGTTCTAAACTTCTCAGAGATGCTGTCTGACTTCTTCACTCAGATTTAAAGAAGCATTTGATACCATCCAGTGAAGAACAAGTATAAGGGCCAAAAGAACAGGTACATCAGAAGGCTGGGGAGATGGCTCAGTGGGTAAGAACACCTGCTTCATTTGTAGAAGACTGGAGTTCAATTCCCAGCACCCACATGTTGGCTCACAGATGTTGTATGTAACTCCAGTTCCAGGGAATCCAGTGACCTCTTCTGTCCTTTTCGGACATCAGGCATGTAAGTGGTGCACAGACATACACGCAGGCAAAGCAGACCCATGCATAAAAAAAAAAAAAACCTTACAAAATTAAACAGATGAAGGTCAAAGGTAATGTTTTTATAGTGCCACGACTCCAGTGCAGAGCCTTGTGTGTGCTAAAGAGATACTCTCCCAACCCAAGATCTCAAGGGTAGACTGGAGAGAACAAACTGCTGCAGTTCTAGCAGGAAGGATGATAATGATGCCAAGAGTAGCAAGGAGAGAGAGCAGTCATTCAAGCCCAGCAGCGATGCCAGCTGGGATGCCAAGCATCTTCGTTCCACTTCACTGTCCTTTGTGAATACAGTGGCACAGTCTGGGCCTGTGTGCCAAGGATGTTTTCTTTGGAATGTGAGTTTTTCTCCTGTGTTGTTGGCATAGAACTCCTAGCAATAGAAAACTAAAACAAGGCTGTGTTCATTCATTTATCTTTAGGCGAACGGTCACCCCCTAACCCTCCACCCCTACCACTTTCACTGTCCTTTAATTGACAGTCTGTGAGTTCACAGTGACTTATGATAGCCAGCCAAAGTCTTAATGCAGACCTTCCTTGTACTGTTAAGAATTCCCCAAGGCTGAGCGTTAGCCTTCCCGACTGCAGGGCACTGGCATTTCTTAGAGATTTTCTTGGGTTGGCAATAAAGAAGTTGTCGTACTGAATCAATGTCAGGGAAAAGACATCCTGTGAAGCACATGAGTTTATATTGGCAAGGAAGTCTATCACAGGCTGTCAAGTATTGTTTGTGCTTTCGTAGCCAAGTACCTTTCTGTTCCTTAAAAAAAAAGGGGGGGGGGCAAACAAAGGAAGGTAACCTTTTCCCTGCTATGAGGCAATCCTGCCCCACCACCTGTCATATTAATATTCTCTGGGGTCTGTGGTTCTTTAGGGGTAAACTTGATGAAGAGTCGAAAGAGTGTGGTGAGAGTGATTGAGTTGGAAGGGAGAGCTGGAAAGGGATGGCTAAGTGAGGGGGCTCCCCCAGAGCAACTGGAGAGTTCCTGGCTGGTACAGCATAGACAGGCTGCCAGGGAAATTCCTGGTGCTAAAATAGTGTTGGCACTCTGGGTTGATGAGCACACTGAGAGAAAAAAAAAGTATCAGCCTGACTCTTTTATTAGACTAATAAAAACATGGCCTCACTCCCATTTTTAATAGGGTTTGTCCATTGGAAGGTAGACAGTCACGTAGGGAGGCCTCTCTGGATCTGGAGAAAAGATTCTGTTTCTCTCTTTTTTGACCTTTTGTTCTTATACCTGTGAGGTTTTTCATACAAGTCCTTTTGTCCCTTTAACCAGTGTTTATTGGACACTCCTTGGAGCAGACACTTCTGGGTGCTGGGGATACTCCAGCAATGCAGACACACGGCCTGCAGCCCTGGAGGGCCAGGACTATCTGATAACCCAATGATACTAAACTGGGGCAGATGCCATGCAGCTTAGCAAGAAGGCTTAGGTGAAGTCTATCCAAGGAAAAGGTCACTTAGACCAGAACACGTGGACCTACATCACCCTTCCATGAAAGGAGGCCCCACCCTCATAGGTGCTAAGAACGCTGCCTTTAAGTTCGCATACGAGAAAGCTATAGTGAGAGCAACCGCAGCCCATACCCCAGATCTGGAGACATGAATAGCCGTACCATCCTTTCTGCTTACAAACGTGGTGAATCTTCTCCTTAAATCCATTCAAAGAAGGAGAAAACCACTACCCGTCTGGTAAATGAGTCAGTTACAACATTTTCAATTTAGGAACAGTCCAAATTTCCAAGCCAGTACTGTGCAGTCCAGAAATAATGCCCTCAAGGTAATAGGTGATAGGCTTTTGGGCCAGGAATGGAGTTGGAAGGTGGGGCTGAAGTGCCAGGCTCAAGCTGCCTATGATCCAGGCCAGGGTGTACTCATATACATGGCCTGAGGCTATGGATTCTACAGGGACATTTGAGGGGTGGGTGTAGGTTGGATTGTCATTTGTTCCACTTACTAGTTGAAAAGTGACATCTTCCAAAAAGAAAATTGAGAAAATAAGACAAACAAAACAATCCCCCAAAGACAAAAACAAACAAACAAACCACAGCAACAGCAACATGGGACTGAAGAGATGGCTCTGCAGCTAAGAGTACTTCCTTCTCCTCCGGAGGACCCAAGTTCTGTTCCCAGAACCCATACTGGGCAGCTCACAACTGCCTGGAAGTCTGGTTCTTTTAGAGTCTGACAGCATCTGCCTTAACAATGCACACACACACACACACACACACACCCAACCAGATACATACTTATAATCATAATTAAAAATAATAAATGTTTTTTTTAAATTGATCAGACTTGAGGCAGGAAGGGAATTTCATAAGAAAAAGAAAAGAGAAAAAGGGGAGACTGAAAAGGAAGGAAACGAAACAGCTTAAATGGAGGCTGGAGTGCCTCACTGTGAGATTACTCAGAAGTCAAAAGGGCCTGTGTTCAAGAAGGTGGTGGCACTAAGGAGAAAGGAGATCTGTATAGACTTGAAAATAAATGGGATCCCTTGGTTTCTTTTCCTGCCTTTGTGATCAAGTGATCTGACAAATGCAAGAGGGGAGGGGGCTTCTCTTTTTTTTTATTTTGTAAAAATTGCTTTAAAAATAATATCAATCAAAATTCCCACTTCCTCCCCTCCTCCCACTTCCCTCCCATTTCCCCTACACCCTCCTTCCCACTCCCCTCCAGTCCTAAGAGAGGTCA